CAGCAAAGCTTTCTTCTTGAGTAATGCTAGCTCCTGAGCCAGTGAGTTTCAGGCCATCCATCCATCAGGGGATCAGCAATTCAAGAAGAGGAGGCCACATTCTTTTTTTTAATTTTTTTAATTTTTGAGATTATTATTACTCATTTCTCCCCTTTTCAAACTCTCCTGTGTACTTCTTGCTGTCTTTCAAATTCATGACCTCTTTTGCCATGTTCTTTAATAATGGCTCTGATCTCAGAATGAAGGAAGGCCACCTGTCCCAGAGGCCATTGCAGGTCTAGGCAGCAGCAAGTGACCCATGACCCCTGGCAGCTAAGATGGGAAGTCTTTTTTTTCTATTTTGAGACAGGGTTTCTCTGGGTCCTGGCTGTTGCTCTGTAGACCAGGCTGGCCTGGAACTCACAAGAGATCCACTTGCCTCTGCCTCCCAAGTGCTGAAATAGGAGGTATGTGCCATCATAGTCGCCTTTGGGCCTGATCCGTGATAAGTAATATATATATATATATATATATATAGAGAGAGAGAGAGAGAGAGAGACAGAGAGAGAGACAGAGACAGAGACAGAGACAGAGACAGAGACAGACAGAGACAGAGACAGACAGAGACAGAAACAGAGAGACAGAGACAGACAGACAGAGACAGAGACAGAGAGACAGAGACAGAGATCTGGTAGTGCTATGGGGAGGGACAGATTTCAGAGACCATGTAAGCTTTGGTGTGGAGTGGGAGGTGTAGGGAGGGCAGGAGGTGGACGAACAGTGGAGGATTGTCCTCCATTAAGTGAGCCTTGCCCTTGCTGTGGGTGGTGGCTGCCTGAAGACTAGGCTTGGCTAACTAGTGCCACTACATACTGAACTTCATCTTCCAGGCGGATTCCTTTGAGAGCTTTCTTCATGAGAAACTGAAGCAGATCAGCCCAGAGTTCATCCAGGCCAAGAAGCTGCTCCAAGACATCAGTGAGCCCCGCCACCGCTGCCTAGAGGAACTCTCCAGGCAGGGGGAGCTTGTAGGCTGGCTGCATGAGGCCCTGGAAGGTATGGCCAGCCCCTTAGGCTTGCCTGGGTCCTGCAGGTGGCGCCAGATGGTCCTCTGTGAGGTTCTGGTACTTGAGGTTGTACTAAGGCCAGGAAAGTTGCTCCTTGCCTTCTTGAGGCAAAGGGGCAGAGTCTGTCTCATTCACTGGGGGGTTATTTTGTTCCAATGACGACTCTCAGGTTATGTGTAGAAACTTTTCCTTTGCTGCTCCCTGTATACTAAGGTTGCTTGCTGTGAAGAGCTGAAGGTCATTTTGTACAAACCCAGCCTCCTTTATAGACTTTTTATTTTATTTTATTGTTTTGCATGTTAATAGTGTTTTATCTTCATGTATGTATGTGTGCCGCGTATGTGTCTGGTACTTGTGTAGGCCTAAAGAGGGTGTCAGATCCCCTGGAACTAAGATGACAATTGGTTGAAAGCCACCACGTGGGTGCTGGGAATGGAACCTAGATACCCTGTAAGGCCAACAATTGCTCTTAACCATAGAGCCATATGGCCAGTTTTTTTATTTTAATTTATTTATTTATTGGTTTTCTGAGACTAGGTTTCTCTATATAACAGTTCTAGCTGTCCTGGAATTCGCTCTGTAGACGTGGCTGGCCCGGAACTCACAGAGATCTGCCTGCCTCTGCCTCCCAAGTGCAGGGATTAAAGGCATACACCACCACTACCCAGTGTCTTTTTATTGTTTTATTTAAATAATTTTATTTTTATTTTTTGTGTATGGGTGTTTTTCCTCCATGTGTATCTGTGCACCCTCACATCCATGGTACCTAGTTGTTAGATCCCCTGGAGCTGGAATTTCAGATGATTGTGAATTCCCCTCCCCATTTAACCTTTTCTTCCACAGGATACTTTCCCAGAGGGGTGGTCTGTAACTCCCCATGAAGGTTTTCCATGCATATCTGTTGAGTGGTCAGAAGCCTGTGGAGAGCTATCTCAGTTTTCTCACTGTCCACATATTCTTCTAGCTGAGCCTAGGTCTCTATGTTTAGGTAGTTTAAGTGATGTTGTGTGGTAGATTCAAGGCTATAAGGTACACAGCAAGCCTAGTATGATGCCTGGAACACTGTTGTCTGATAGATGTTAGATATCAGTCAATAGATGATATTTTTACATTCTTAGCATAAACAGGGAGCGGGTCAAACCAAGACATTAGCTTGGTGTCCGATTATAGCTTCACTTAGGATTACTGCCCCAAATTCAGCATGGCCATGTGCTGACCTCCCCTCTGCTCCTCTCAAGACATCAATGAACTCAAGGTGTTTGTGGACCTGGCCTCCATCTCGGCGGGGGAGAACGACATCGACGTGGACCGGGTGGCCTGTTTCCATGATGCCGTGCAGGGTTATGCTTCCCTGCTGTACAAGATGGACTCGGGTGCAGATTTCTGTGAGTTCATGCATCATCTGCAGGAACTGTGGAGGGCCCTGGACAATGACCAGGACCTGCCCAGTAAGCTGGTGAGTCTACTCAGGATCCAAGGCTATTAAGTGTAATAGCTGACTATCAGTGACCCCAAGGGCAAGGCTGCCACTGATGTCGCTGATTCATGACAGACCCCAAGACAGATGTCTTCTCTGTCTTGAGTCGGGAAGGCATAGACAAAATGTCATTGTGGAAACGGAAGGTCTCTGCCACATGAAGCATAGAAGAAAACATTGTGAAATCTTGCCTGTGGGTTTCTCTAAATGGTCCTTCTCATTTTGTTCTATTACTTTGAGCATTTCCCATGATTGGCACTTGAGGAACAACCACTGAGATTGTCCTCTGGCCTCCATGACCGTGTCTGTAGACATGCACACGCACCTGCACACAACAGTGTACTAGTGTACACACGCTCATCACAGACACAAACCTCCGTACTGGGGTCTGATTTTACTTTCCTCACTTTCCATCAAATTGAGATACTGGCGTGGCCTCAGGACTGAAGACGAAGTGGAATGCATACAGAGGGAAGTTTGCAAACTTTCTGTGAAAAGCCCACATCCAAATGACAGCTGTAATGCATGTTTTCCTTACTCTGGTCTCCTCAGAACCCTGAAATCGGCATGGCTCAGCAGTTAAGCATACTTACTGATTTAGCAGAGGCCCCAGATTTGGTTCCCAGCACCTACACAGTGGCTCCCAACCTTCCATTGCTCCATTCCAGGGGTACCACACCCTCGTGTGGCCTCTCATGGCACCAGGCACTCACACTGTACATATACATACATGAGACAAATACTTATACACACAAAATAAAGTAAAAATTTAAAAACCAAGTCAGGTGTGATTCACACCTTTAATCCCAGAACTCAGGTGGCAGAGGCAGGTAGATCTTTGAGACCAGGCTGGCGTCTAACTCACAGAGATCTGCCTGCCTCTTCCTCCCAAGTGCTGGGATTAAAGGTGTACGCACCAAGCCTGGCTCCAAATAAGAAATTTTAAAAAACAAAACAAAACAAAAC